CCGTGTCTGCTCCGTTGGACACCCCGGGTGGTGAGAGGTCTCAGGCGTCGGTGGAGGCCTCGTTTTCAGAGTGACCCACGGGGTGTGACTTATTCTTCCCCTCCTCTCACATCCCTCCTCCTCTCCCGCGTCTCGCCCTCACCTTGACTCAGTTTTCACTTTCTTTTGCAGTTGTATGCACGTGTATCTATGCTGAACTTCTTTCGCACCGTACGTAGCCACCCGCGCTAATCGGAGGTGCGGGGGGAAGAATAACAGACTGAGTTGAGGTATTGGCGTGGTCACCCCCTCGCCCCCCTTCAAGAATGATGTTTCCACGCCCAAATCACCCACACCCCCAATGGCCCTTAACCATTAACGCGTACTGTATTGGCTCTAGTGGGGCAATTTGAAACTCGCTCCGTCACACTCATCTGTGGCGCAGTACACACGAGGAGTTTCTCCCGTATTCTTAGTCCCAAGAGCGTCGTTGAGTCGAAGCGTCTCGTGCACAGTGCGGTGCTGTTTAGTTCTACACGCGGCGATTTGATGGAGAGGAGGGTAGAACAGCGGTCGGCAAACCAAAAATAACAATACGAGCCATTCTCGTTGGTTCTTTCGGTAAAGTCACGTAATTAGAAATAAAATATGTCAGCGGTTGTCCTGATGTATCGGTGCCACCTGATGAAGGTCGCTTGTGTTGCGATCGAAACGTCGTGATTTGTTTTATTTTATTTCTAACCACGTGACTTTACCGAATTAACCAAAGAGCATGGATTCCTGCAGTCACGAAAGCCTCAAATCAAGATGAATACGAGCCATTTTTGTTCCAATTCATTGGTCAAAAACAACCCCCCACCCACCCCGCCTCAATATTTAAAGAGCCACAGTGCAACGTCGTGAATACGAGACACGGTGCTCCCTTAGAAAGAGCCGCATGCGGCTCCTGAGCCCCACGTTTGCCCGACCCCTGAGTCGTGGGGGTTTACGGGGGACCGTGGAGCCCTCTTGCTCTGCACGTTCAATTCCCCAGTGTCCCCGGGGAGGGATATATTTAGTCCCTGCGAAAGAAAAGCTAACAACAACCATATATTGACTTGACAATGCCAGGGTTGAGCCTGGTTGGACCTTGCACGGGAGGCTGATTTGGAATAGTTCGATGCTGTAGAGTTGGGGCCAGATGTGGGGGTTGTCCAGAAGATTAATGCGCAGCAATGCGTTCCCAAATGTCTCTGCGTGTGTAGAGCAGAGAGAGTGGTAGGTTTTCCGCCAGGGGTTTCCGCGAATTCCTGCCTACAATAAGCAAATCAATCATTATTGGGACTGGCCAAAATATCCCAAAGTTAGCAGGATCCTCCTGAAATGTTCCCGTGACCCATTGAGCCGTTGCTATTATTGCGTTGTGCTTAACACGCGAAGGCGATATCGTTATTCTCAGCGACTGTTGTCAATCTAGAATTATTGAATGAAGTCTGCCTCACACGATGTGGGTCATGGGTATTGTTTGGCCATGCTTTGCCAAGCTGAGCAGTGCAAGTCCGGTGAATGCGGTCCTTTTATTGTGTCCAACCCCTTGACCCCGCTGGATTTTTGCCAGGTTTGGGGTTTCGTACCCACGTGATCTATGCACGGTGGTGACGCTAAAGCTATAAACATTATTTCCTCATACTCATTGGTTCTTTCAGTGAAGTCACGTTGGTATAAAATGAAATAAATCACGACGAGCGCAACACAGGCGTCCGTCATTAGGACGGATGCTTGTCACGAAAGCTTCAAATCAAGATTATTTCTTCATTTCACCTGGTGTAAGGCCGACTGAGCTATATAGCTATTTTTTTTTATAACGCGACCTGGCTATCACAAATGATAGCCCAACGAAGTGGCTTATGATCTGCACGTGGAAATGTTTAGCAGCAGCCAAATACTCTAAATGCGTGATGTTGAATCTCAATGTGGAGGGGAAATAACAAAGGAGCCCGAGATAATTCACGCGGCCAGGGAGAGAAGAGACACCGCAAACTCCAAATATACAACACGTGTCGGGGTCGAACCCACCAGCTCCGTTTATGAAAAATAAGAAGAGGTTTTACCCTTTCTGGCAATACAAAAGGTGTTAAGATGTTCAAACATCAAATAGATATATTTTGCAAGGCATTACGTCTTCATTAACCACACGTACTTGTGGCAATATCTGCAAACAAAGTGCTCTGATAATGAATGCATTGTCTTTGAAATTGACTGGCATACACCATAGACATCCATGTGTGTGGCCTTGGTTGACCACCAGCGTCAGCCCAGAAAACACCCAAAAGGCGAACAAGTGAAAGACAATAAAAGCATCAGGACACTTAAAGCTCGGGTCGAGTTGTTATATAGACATAGGATACCTTTTTTGCCAAAATCTAAAATTATGAAAAATAAATATGCTCTCTGTGTGGGGCGCCGCAACGTGGGTGTCGCTTGCGACAGAACGAGGGGTCACTGTGTCGCACCTGTCGCAGATCAGACGACGCCACCGCCTGAGCAGATGAAGCCAGGGACGCGCGTGCAGAGACGCGCGTGCACGTGCGCGCGTGCACGTGCGCGGAAGACAATCAGTGCGACCGGGAAGGGCGAGTTCACTTGGCCGAGGGAGAGTTTAATGTTTCTGTTGCTCGATGCTATTTATGTTCGTTCGCGACCACGTGGAGCGTGCGACCAACGCCTGAATCGACGAACAGGTGGTAGTGACGCGGTCTCAGAGTGACTGAGAGTAACAATAGTTTCAGAGTGACTGAGAGCAACAACAGTCTCAGAGTGACTGATAGCAACAACAGTCTCAGAGTGACTGACGGTGACAGGGAGTCTCAGAATGACTGAGAGCAACAACAGTCTCAGAGTGATTGGGAGCAACAACGGTCCCAGAGTGACTGACGGTGACAGGGAGTCTCAGAGTGACTGAGAGCAACAACAGTCTCAGAGTGACTGATAGCAACAACAGTTTCAGAGTGACTGATAGCAGCAACAGTCTCAGAGTGACTGATAGCAACAACAGTCTCAGAGTGACTGATAGCAACAACAGTCTCAGAATGACTGATAGCAACAACAGTCTCAGAGTGACTGATAGCAACAACAGTTTCAGAGTGACTGATAGCAACAACAGTCTCAGAGTGACTGAGAGCAACAACAGTTTCAGAGTGACTGATAGCAACAACAGTTTCAGAGTGACTGATAGCAACAACAGTCTCAGAGTGACTGATAGCAACAACAGTCTCAGAGTGACTGGCCGTGACAGGGAGTCTCAGAGTGACTGATAGTAACAACAGTCTCAGAGTGACTGATAGCAACAACAGTCTCAGAGTGACTGATAGCAACAACAGTCTCAGAGTGACTGACGGTGAGAGGGAGTCTCAGAGTGACTGATAGCAACAACAGTCTCAGTGACTGAGAGCAACAACAGTCTCAGTGTGACTGATAGCAACAACAGTCTCAGAGTGACCGAGAGCAACAACAGTCTCAGAGTGACTGATAGCAACAACAGTCTCAGAGTGACTGATAGCTACAACAGTCTCAGATTGACTGACGGTGACAGGGAGTCTCACAGTGACTGAGAGCAACAACAGTCTCAGAGTGACTGATAGTAACAACAGTCTCAGAGTGACTGACGGTGACAGGGAGTCCAAGAGTGACTGATAGCAACAACAGTCTCAGAGTGACTGATAGCAACAACAGTCTCAGAGTGACTGATAGCGACAACAGTCTCAGAGTGACTGATAGCAAAACAGTCTCAGAATGACTGATAGCAACTACAGTTTCAGAGTGACTGACCGTGACAGGGAGTCTCAGAGTGACTGATAGTAACAACAGTCTCAGAGTGACTGATAGCAACAACAGTCTCAGAGTGACTGATAGCAACAACAGTCTCAGAGTGACTGACGGTGAGAGGGAGTCTCAGAGTGACTGATAGCAACAACAGTCTCAGAGTGACTGAGAGCAACAACAGTCCCAGAGTGACGGACGGTGACAGGGAGTCTCAGAGTGACTGAGAGCAACAACAGTCTCAGAGTGACTGATAGCAGCAACAGTCTCAGAGTGACTGATAGCAAGAACAGTCTCAGAGTGACTGAGAGCAACAACAGTCTCAGAGTGACTGAGAGCAACAACAGTCTCAGAGTGACTGATAGCAACAACAGTCTCAGAGTGACTGATGGTGACAGGGAGTCTCAGAGTGACTGATAGCAACAACAGTCTCAGAGTGACTGAGACCAACAACAGTCTCAGAGTGACTGATAGCAACAACAGTCTCAGAGTGACTGATAGTAACAACAGTCTCAGAGTGACTGATAGTAACAACAGTCTCAGAGTGACTGATAGCAACAACAGTCTCAGAGTGACTGATAGCAACAACAGTCTCAGAGTGACTGACGGTGACAGGGAGTCTCAGAGTAACTGATAGCAACAACACTCTCAGAGTGACTGAGAGCAACAACAGTCTCAGAGTGACTGATAGCAACAACAGTCTCAGAGTGACTGATAGTAACAACAGTCTCAGAGTGATTGATAGTATCAACAGTCTCAGAGTGACTGATAGCAACAACAGTCTCAGAGTGACTGAGAGCAACAACAGTCTCAGAGTGACTGACGGTGACAGGGAGTCTCAGAGTGACTGATAGCAGCAACAGTCTCAGAGTGACTGATAGCAACAACAGTCTCAGAGTGACTGAGAGCAACAACAGTCTCAGAGTGACTGATAGCAACAACAGACTCAGAGTGACTGATAGCAGCAACAGTCTCAGCTGCTCGTTCGTGTCGCCGTGCGCGCTGCTACTTGGCAGGGACTCATAGCAACCCGCGCCGCCACCGCCACCACCATCAGCAGTGGCAGCAGCAACAGCAGCATCCTCCCCCAGGGCACCAACCCAGTCGCGCTCCCTGCTTCGTTCACCACCACCACCACCACCGCTTTCTTTTGCCCCCCCCCCCCTACGGCTCCACGGCGCTCGCAGTAACGCGCCTCCCCCCCCCCTCCCGTCCTCCCCTTCGCCGTGCCCAACCTCGTTTTGCCGCTCGACACGCGCCTCTTCTCTCGTCGCTCGGTATTTTTCCACTGCCCGACGTCACGTCGTAATCTGCGAGCGCGGGGATAAAAGCGGCGGCGGAGCAGCGCCTGCGCACTCGGAGCTGCGTTTGCTCGAGAGGAGCAGAGAGAGGAGCAGAGAGAGGAGCGAGCGAGCGAGGGAGCGAGGGATCGAGCGAGCGAGCGGCGTCTCTTCGTTGCGCGCGTTTCCTCCGCCTCCTGCTCGCTCCCGCGACTGACTTCGCGTCGTCGCCTCGAACAATCTCGTCCCTCCGTCCACATGGCGTGCGGCGAGGGCAAGGCGTGCCCCGACGGTGGCATTGCCCCTCCGTCAAGCTGCCCCGCGTCGTGCTCTCCAGCGCCGACGTCCGGTCCGCACTACCCTGGAGTCTCGTCCGCCAGACCCACCGCGGCAGCGGCGGCAGTGGCAGCAGCGGCGGCGGTCGTCCTGCCACCCCGCGAGAAGTGGGGAAGCCGCGTGGAGTTTATGCTGTCCGTGGCCGGAGGTTTCATCGGCCTGGGGAACGTGTGGCGCTTCCCCTACCTGTGCTACAAGAACGGAGGCGGTGAGCGGCACCTTGCCATTCTCGCCCTCTCACGCAATCCGCTTTCTCTTCTCTCATTAATCCGCTCCAGTGTCGCCCCCCACCTCCTCTATCTCGACACTCGCTTCTGCCCACCTCTGCCCCCCCCCCCCCCCAATGGAAGCTTCTCGGTAGCTATGCTCGCAGAGTGATTGGCCTCGTTCCACCTGGCATGCAGCGGGGGGAGCGGTCACCGGGCACGCAAATTTTATTGTTTTGCTTCAACAAGTTGCCGCTTACTCGACCCCCCAAATGAAAAAAAAGAGTTCAGAAAATGCGTAAGTCAGATTTAAACAAATTCAATAATTGCACCTCTTTTGAAACGTATCGAAAACAGAACACTCACGTGGCCTTTCAAACGAACGTGCTTTGACAATCGATCGGAAGGACACAGAATATATCCGTGCGTGAAATCAAGGGCACCTGTTCCAATTGCAATCCCTGGCGCGGTGTGGCGGTAGCCACGGCCGCGCTGCGATTAACCCTCCTCGCTCTCGCGTCTGCTCTCTCAAATCGCATTACTCCCTCGCTCGCTCTGCCATCGGATCACCGCGTCCCCTACCGGGTGGGGGGGTGGTGGGTGGGGTGGTGGTGGTGAGTGGGCTCCAGAGACAATCGCTGCCGCCGTCTCTCTCCGTGCGCGCCCGTCGAGGAGTCGTGGAGATGCCAAAGCAGCGGCTGCCACCGGCTGTGCGGCGACGATGCCAATAATCCACTTTCTAGGAAATCTCCCGAGCTCCGCTTACATTCCACGGTCCTCCATCCAAGGGGGGTCGCCTCGTTCGTCGTTCCTCGCCATGACGCGCGGCGCGCTGCTGCTGCTGTGTGGGTTGCGATCCACTACGGAGGGTAACACGAAGAAGCAACGTTGTGCCCTAGTTCAGAATCAGAATATATTTATTTTTTAGAATATATTTACGTTTTATACTGGAGGAACCCGATGAGCTATAAGGGTCTTTTTCAGATGTCCAGTCGGTTACTCTGGATCACTCACCACTTGGGTGGTGGGTGGGGGGGGGGTGGTTATTGATCTCGCGATTTAAGAATCGGTTATTTATCGCCATGGTGGCTCATTAAGAATGTAGTCGCGTACGAAGATTCATATGTCCTGCCTCTTTCACCCCGACCTTGACTCTTCTTCATTGTCCCCTGCCTCTTACGCTCACGTAAAGTCCGCGAGTGTTCGCATACAATGTATCGATTCGTCGCTGGAAGTAGCGGGAGCAGTAGGAACAGCAGCCGCGGGGAACTCGCCCGTACCGCGATCCCAGAGGCTCCTGCTCCTGCCGACAAGTTTCGCCTTTACGGGGAACACGAGGATCCGTCCGCCACACTGCCAGCGATCCCATATCGTCGCAATCACGCGTTCGAAATTCAATTCCCCGCAATGGAGGCTCTGCCGGGCATCGCTCTGCTCGTTTCATTTTGATTCGCAGTTTTCTTCCGGACACTTGTATTCGCTCCATTCACTATATAAGCACGCGTGTGTATAGTTCCAACTTCATCTGCACATCATTTACACGCATCGCAAATGACAGACTATTGCAGCATGTGTGCAAATCGCTTGTAAACTACGCATCGCCTACGTGCTTGTTAAACATCGTTACAAAGGACCGTGAATGGCCTGGAAAGTCCAGTGTTTGCCATGAATGTAAAGGATATGCCAAGCTTAAAAACAGCAAGGCGCTTGGCAGCATCCGTTTCTTAGCAACGGGCATAGGAGGCCTTGTTGTTGTCTGTTACATCTCTCCTGCTGGACTGTAAACAACCACAACAACAACAACAACAATCAGAAACGCGTGCATAATGCGACACGTCCATTCATGAATATATCGAGTCAGCGTTGCGCGTGCTTGATTCCGTTGGCAGCGTGGCCACTCTTAGGCTTCGTGTTCGTTTCCGAGTGACAAAAGCACTCGGAATTCCTGTCGGGAGGTGGCCACGTGTCTCCCCCCCCCTCCTCCCAGCATCCTTTCGGTGCCTGGCATTTTAACAAACGCACGCTGCTGCGTCGCCAGTGGTGCAAAGGTACGCGTGGTTTAATACATACAATCTGCGACGTCTCACGGTTATTACAACTTGCACGATATCATGGGACCTTTTTGCCAGTATCAAAGTATGAAAAATAAGAATAGGTTTTACTCTTTCTGACAACTTGCACGAGAATAATGACATCCGCACTGATTAAACAGATTTAATAACCTTCGGTGGCATTATTTTTCGGGGAAATTAAACTTGTCCGTGAAGAGAAACTGCCTGTTCTGTTGTTGACGGATGTAATTGGTTGTCAAATGGGGCGCCACGGTGGCTAGGAGATGTTAACTCCGTCGCCTGGTATGCAGGAGGTCGTGGGTTCGATCCCGGCCCTGACGCCTGCTGTGTATTTGGAGTTTGCGGTGTCTCTCTCCCCGTGGTCGCGTGGATTTTTGTCCGCGTCCTCCAGTTTCCCCCTCCACATTTAGAGACTTGCGTTTTAGAGCATTTGGCTGCTATACATGTCCACATCATGATAATGCACTTCGTTGATCTATCATTTTTAAAAGCCAGGTAGCTTCTGAAAAGAGATATATTGCTCAGTTGGGCCTTAACTGGTAAAGTAATAAAAAAAATATTTTTAGTTTTAATTCAATATGAAGTGGAGCCACCAAGGACTTCAGCAAACAAATCTAACCGGACGCGCAGGATCTGGGGAATATGGACTGCGATGAGAACGGCGCGCATCTACCGGAGGAGGCGGCACGGAACCAACGTGGCCTCTTAAGGAAACGGCAAGGATAGTGATTAAATATCACAGCAGAGAGGCAACAGCATCATGGGGACAGCCGTGGAGATGGAATGCAACCGGTGCGCACGTGGGAAGGACACGGATCGCATCAGCAGTGGAAAGAGACACCCTGGCAACTGAGCATCGAGCTGTTTTTAATTCAAACCAATTTCTCAGTAAAGGCCCCAAAAAACGCCAAGGGTTCGGCAACGAACAGCACTATCGCAGGTTGTGAAAGACTAGAGATAACACGCGTCTCGAATTGAGCAAGGTTAGTCTGAGCGCTCGTGAAAAATAAACTATGGGAGAGGGAGAAGACTTTTTTTTTCTAAAGTGGAGCAGTGCGAGAGAAGAAACACAGAGAGATAAATGAGTGTCGTGACTTGCAGGGCAGTGTACAAAGCGTCCTCAAACAATCGTTCTCAGGGCGCTGGTAGGCCGAGTCCTCCACATGCATAGAGGAATCGACGAGTAACGTTCACCGCAACAGCCATCACGATAGAAGCGATAGAAGAGTGATAGGGAGACGACTGACCCCCGACGAGACGGTGGACTCGGGCGAATCCGGTGAGTGCCGGGTCATCAATCAGCCCGCCCGCTGCTCTCCGTTGATCGTGGGGGGCGGGGCGGGGGGGGGACGGGACGCGGGGTTGGGAATTTGCGTTGAGTAGCAGCGCCATGCGCTTAGCGCGGGCGTGTGCCACCCCCAGTTCCCCGCGCCGTGACCTCGCCGACTCGCCCCCTCGCCTCTCGCCGCGGCTCCACCGCTAATCTCCCGAGCACCCGGCGAGTGTTTACTGCCTCAAGCAGCACGCAGACTAAATGGGAACAGCAGCGATTAGCAATGTTCCCGCGGAGGGATGCCGCGCACATTTTAGAAGCTTTCCATAATCTCCGCATATCTCCCCTTGCGAAGACGCAGTTTGAGTGGACTACGAAGGAGTTATTGACAAACATATGAGTCACGCGCGCGCGTAACCCTTCTGTGTATTATTTGAGCATCCGTTGTCCAAATTAGCGCGCGCCTACTGTAGTCACGGGTGTCCCAGACGCGTCGGTTCCTCTCTTACAGGTTTCATCCCAGTCCTACTGTCTCATCCCAGTCCTACTGTCTCATCCCAGTCCCACTGTCTCATCCCAGTCCCACTGTCTCATCCCAGTCCCACTGTCGTCTCATCCCAGTCCCACTGTCGTCTCATCCCAGTCCCACTGTCGTCTCATCCCAGTCCCACTGTCTCATCCCAGTCCCACTGTCTCATCCCAGTCCCACTGTCTCATCCCAGTCCCACTGTCTCATCCCAGTCCCACTGTCTCATCTCAGTCCCACTGTCTCATCCAAATCCCACTGTCTCATCCCAATCCCACTGTCTCATCCCAGTCCAACTGTCTCATCCCAGTCCCACTGTCTCATCCCAGTCCCACTGTCTCATCCCAGTTCCACTGTCTCATCCCAGTCCCACTGTCTCATCCCAGTCCTACTGTTTCATCCCAGTCCCACTGTCTCATCCCAGTCCCACTGTCTCATCCCAGTCCCACTGTCTCATCCCAATCCCACTGTCTCATCCCAATCCCACTGTCTCATCCCAGTCCCACTGTCTCATCCTAGTCCCACTGTCTCATCCCAGTCCCACCGACACATCCTCCCCTGCGGTGGTCGAGTGACGGTCTCTCCTCGCAACGGTGTTCCGAGCCCTGCACGCCCAGGGACAGATTTGGCCAACGCGCAAAGAACTGCAGACTCCAGACAACGTGACCTATATTACATAATGGTACAACATGTGATCCATATGTTTATCCGGCCAGGTTGGTCATCGGTGGAGTGAGCGGCTCGCGATTGGATAGTCGCGTGTTCAAATTCCTGGTTGGGTGGGGAGTCACTCAGCCAAACATGACTCTGGGGTCGATAAAATAAAAAAAACACTTCTGGGGAATTGAACGTTGGTTGCCCTCGCCATAGAAAAGTGGAATTTCCACCCGCGGCTCATGGATATAAATCGGAGATGTTCATTTGAGCAGGAAATCGCCTTGTGATTTATGGAAAATGTATGCATTTTAATGAGATAGCAACATGATTAGTCATACAACATGACTGAAACAGGACACGTGTGTTTTTCTAATGGGTCTGTTGGTATTGAAGTGTCCATTCAACTTAAGAATGGTAACCCATTTGATAAGGCCAATGCATGCAAATACCTTGCCATTTTCATTGACGCGAAGC